GGGCCCCCTCCTGTAAATACAGTGAACTGAAATGGACTTAGCGCAGGTGGTACCTCTGGGGACTTATACTGCTCTAAATCAACAAAAAAGTCGTCAATGGGCACGGCAAGCACTCTCTCCAACAGCATCTGATAGTGCGTAATTCTCTCTAAAACCTAAAAACCACCACACTAACAAAAACTGTACACTAGCGCGTCAGCACACAGAGATGGAAGGGAGGCTGGATGAGTCAACTTCAGCTGAATAAACCGTACAGAACTTTGCATCAGTTCCATAAAAACGAGCTTTTAATGCGTTGGTAAGCTTTCGCTTTTTGTCTAAAAAAAAATCATGGTGCCGAGAGACTGTCAAGCGGAACAAGAGAGAGCAGGAGGAAAAGGAGGTGAGGCAGGACGCTGGAATGTGCATGAATGTCTGTACAAATGTCTGAAAACTGTTCTTGGCATATTTTGACATTTAAAAGAGAAATATTATGATACATATGTGTACATGCATATATATCACATACATATATGTATGTGATATGAAATTAATTAAAAAATTGCATGAACAGGAATGTTTCGGTCTATTAAGTCATCGGAATTCCCGATCAACTCACTCCGTGGCGCACTGGAAGGGGAGTTTACTAATCAGGTGCGCTATCCCTCAGTTAAAATTTTAAACTTCTCCAACCTCTAATGTCCTAGCTCTCTAGCAGTTCTCTTATCCATTATTTTCTCTAGAAGTATTCGCATACTTTTTGCCTACAAACACGTCTGCACTTAAAACGTGTGCTCTTATACCGCACAATTTTAGCTCATTTTCCAGCGGAACTCCTCCCCCTCCTTGGCCACTCGCTGTGCTAGACGATACTACTCTGGCAAGTGCAGTAACAAGTCAGGGGTTACCCGAAGTCAAAGTTGATGGTTAGCTCAGACTACGGATGCCGCCTAGTGGTCAGCTCTGACTATGGATAGTCCCTTCAGTATCACGAGTTGTGATGACGAGCAGACAGTGCCGGAACTCAGGGGAGAAGCGAGAGGGGAAGCCAGCGCCTCTATCTCGGACGACAGTTTCAGAGGGAGGCAAATTACAAGGAAGAAAGCCTCTCCAAAATGTATATGTAAACATGTTCACTTGTTTTTTTTTTGTCCTCGACGGCCGCGGTAGACCTAAATATGCTTGGATTTATCGGAAAAAAAGTAGAAAATGACAGAGGAACTTAAAGGCAAAAAGAGCGAGTGGAGCGGCAATCTTAAATTTTTGCCTCGCCTCGGAAAAATTTGAGTTCCAGCACTGCGGACAGAGTTCTGCATTGAGCGTAATAGCGTTCCTAAGCGCTCCAAACATAGCCTTACGAGAGGACAAATGCGTTTGGCGTAATACAAAAATAACACAACGTTGTTTTCACTTTGTCGATGAACATTTCGACATGGCCAGTAACGTAGAAAGGCTACAAGGGTGGAGTGACCACTGACCGCTGGCCAGGCCGTGTGGCGACTCAGAAATGCATTGCACAGAATAGTAATTTCACAGGTTGCTCAATTAAAATGAACGATTTTGAAGGTCGTCGCACAAATGTTCGACCGAAAGTGCAGCAGCATGGCGCTGATCGCCGATAAGCAAGCAATTCTCCCTCCTTGCACATCTCCCTCACAATCTTCATCAGAGGTGCCACCCTCAGGTTTTGCAGAACATGGCAATTTCGCGCATTATCGGAACCGACAAGGGACATAGCACATATCTGACTCCTTCCCCTTCTCCCTCCCTCTTCGCTTTTCCCTCATTTCTCCTTCCTCCTGTCGCCTCTCTTTTCCGTCTTTTTCAAGTCATCTCCTTCCCAGGTAGTTTAACTCTTAAACCCTCAATCTGGAATGGCAGCACTCCGCTTGCGGTTGTTTTGCATTGAGAAACTTTAGCGCTAAAACCGCTCCACTTTACTTCCTCCGTATTCTGAAGAATTACTGTGTACTCGTCCTACCAATCCCTCATCCACCAAATTGTGGCGTAACAGATGAATTC